AGAAGAAGCAGATCTCTAGGGGAAGCTCTTTTCATGGTGAAGGTGTCAGAAGTAGGCACAGATAATCAGGTTCTTGGTGATCAGGATGAAGAATTGAACCTAACACATTCAGTTTGTAGCAAAGAATACAGGAGCAGGCCAACTACAAGCAGAGACTGACCTAATGGGCTGGAGGGATTCTATTCTTATAGGGCAGGTCCTTCCTGGCTAGTTTTGGTGGGCTTTTATTGCGTGGGTACAAGTAGTTGTATTACTTTAAAGCTACTGTGCATGTGGTCTCCTGTGGTTTTCCTTGACTGGCCACTGGAGAAGGGGTTTGAACAATGTTACCAAATAGAACCCCCCTTCTCCTGGGGTCCCCCTGTACTAGATTTGCCTTGCCCTCAGCCAGGCAATTATAGCTCTCAATGTCAAAGATTGGTGAAAAGGAAAGGAATTATTTATTCAAAAGTTATACAGACTTAAGAGTAATGACTTAATGTCTTCATTAAAACCCCAAGGTCCCTTAAAACACCCACAAACACACCCAGTCCTTCCTTCCCCTCTTTGCCTGGTCCAGGGTGCTGTATCTTAAGAAAAGCAATAGAGGTCCTTTTTACAGAGCCATTTACACAACCATTTGTCAACTATTTTTCAGGATTTTTTTATTGTGGAATTCTTTGCCCAAATTAATGTAAGAGCCTCAAGCATCCTGCTATCATAAATGTTGGAGACAAAGGAAGAAAAGGGTGATTTTTCCTTCTTTCTAGTTTCTTATTTAGCCAATTCAGTGTGGAAGCCTTTTTGTAAGAGTGTCTGGAAAATATAAGTTCCAGACTTCCATGCCTAGAAAATGTAATAAAGACTTTTAAAGGGGATGGGGACGATGTGGTGTGCCAACCCCCACTCTGGGGCCAACCTGAGTCACAGACACCTGAGGTAAGTGATCCACACTGGAAGAAGGCTCTTGAAGAACCCACATGAGTACTCCAGCCTATTTTGTAGTACTAGTCACATAAAACCTCTCCTGTCCCTTAGGCGGTTTTCTTCCCATACTCCGGCCCTGCCCTTGCTAGGATGATCAGAAACTCTTATCAGCAAGTCAGAGAAGGAGGAATGAAAGTACAAAGTGAAAAGGAAGAAAATTACTACCTTCCCATTTTCTGTCTCGGACCTCATACAGTCACAAACCAGGGCGAGGTAGGAGTGAAGGGGCAGCTTAACTTTTAAATGAAGTTGGAAATTTAGACTGCTACATGAGATTGGACATTTTAAATACAGATATAAGCCTGTTTTGCAACTAGAAATTACAGGAAAGATTTATTGTTACCTAAGAGTAAACAAAGGAGTCAAGCAAGTTGCCCTAGATTTTCTCCAAAGGGCAGGGGAGACGCTACCTGCTGAGCAGGTCTGAATGGGACACTGGGGGCGGAAAAAGGATGAAGTAGTTTACTAATTACATTCCACAAGCTTGACTCTTTCAACATATTGGATATATTTCTTAATTGAATTTAATATAGCATTATGAAGGTACATTACACTACCTGTCTATCATGTTCTTCCTAGTTTTAAAGCACAAAATTATTTATCCAAATCACTCTCCCACTCCTCATTTTTACATATTTCAGGAGGTATATTTCTCAAAGTGAAATGAGTCTCAGGTTGTGAAGAAAGGAACCAGCTGTTGGAATTGTACTAGGTCTTTTAAAGGCAGCTTGGTAAATCTGCACAGGGGCTCAGGAGAAACCTTCCCCACATTTAGAAATGAAGAAAAAAGAGCCCTGGCTGGTGTGGCTCAGTGGATTGAGTGCCGGCCTGGGAACCAAGGGTTGCCAGTTCGATTCCCAGTGTAGGGCACATGCCTGGGTTGCTGGCCAGGTCCCAGTAGGGGGCACTGGAGAGGCAGCCACACACTGATGTTTCTCTCCCTCTCTTTCTCCCTCCCTTCCCCTCTCTAAAAATAAATAAAATCTAAAGAAAGAATACATGAAAAGTGAGCCTTAGAGAAGGAATGTTGTTTCTCAGAGCTGGGAAGTACTGAAGATGGTAATCAGATTCCAGGTGTCCAAAAATGGTGTCATTACTACATGTTCACTTCATGTAATAGACACGCCAACAAAATGAGAGATGACAGTGCAGCCACATTCCCACAGCCTGGGGTCTCTTTCAGGCCTTTCGGATAAGTCTCTGTTGCACACCCTTTAGTTGCTGGTGAGGTTTTCATCTTTACTTCGTCCCTCACTCCCTTCTTTCCCTTCTTTGTTCCTTCCATTTTCCCTCCCTTTCTCCTTTCTGTCCCCTCTCCCTTCCTTTTGTCTATGTAAATTATCTGCTCATCTCCAGTGGTGAGGAAGCGTAATCCTGCAAGTGACCAGATTTGATTTCTCTGGCTCCTTTGTGTTAAAAAATATGCTTTTATCAGTTTGTTGATTGACAAACCTGATTACAACAAACTTCCAGAGGGTGGACGATCTGAGAAAGTGGAGCACCCATGCACAAGGGAACCAGAGGGCTGTCCACTTCCGGAGGGCTATGGGAACATGACTGATAGGTCGGGTGTGGATGCAAGGTGGTCAGTGACCGCGTGTCCAAGGCGTGGGCCGGGAAGAGAGCCACTGGGTGTTCTCATGCCTGCATGACTGATGTACAGCTACTGAAACCAGCAAGAAGAGCACTTGCCTCCCTCAGTGCCTCTAGCACCCTCTACTGTTTAGCATCATGGTCACAGCGAAGGAGAGATGCTTTAGGGAGTTCGTCTGTAAAGCACATATTGAAGGATGGATTTGGAGCTTTGAGGTAAGGTAAGCCAGGCTTCGCATAATCTTCCCTTGGGCCCCCTCCCAAGCACTATCTCTCCCTTCCCACCACAATAACCACTAACCTGGTTTTATAGCAAGCACTTCTTGGCTTTTATCACCTAACAATGTAGCCTTAGAAGCTATAGGTTTTTTGGTTTGGTTTGAAGTTTATGTAGGGAATCAGAAAGCAAGTATTCTTTTGTGTGTGGCTTCCTTCACTCCACATGATGTTTTGAGATTCATTATATATTTTGGGGTATAAAACTGGGAGTTGTTGGGTCATAGAGGTTTGCATACCTTCCAATTTAGTAGATAAAGCCAAACTGTTCTCCTAGTTGACAACCAGATGACAAAATTTAAGCCTGCGGATTCATCTGTGCCTTGAACTAGCACTACACTCAGCTACATGAAACAGTATCTTGAGTTTTTGCTCAAGCTAGTGTGAGTTGGGTTATCACTTGCAACCAAGGGTCCTAATAAACTTATTCTATTACCTTTTGTACCTTTCCCACACAGATTTAACCTCAGCACTATTATTACTATTATTTTGTTTATTTCTCCAGCTTGCCCATAAACTCACTGAAGGCAAGGCTTCTTATCTGTCTTTGTATTCCCAGTGCCTCACACATGGTATACTCTCAGCAAATGTCTGCAGGGTGGATCATGTGTACAACTTTGCCATCCTACTTGAAGATCAGAAACCTACCTGACCCCCAAAAATAAATAAATAAAATCCAATATGTAAGTGGAAATTTAGTACAGATCTCTAGTGGGGAAAAAGATGAATACCTCTAATAATTGTTAGAGAAACCACACATTTGGAAAAGCTAAGTTAATATCAAGTACCAATGGTCCTCTGAGATGGGAGAACTATCCCTCTCAGCTGAACTATCAGGAGATGAAGAATGAGGTTTAGCTAAAATGCCTACCATAGGATTGCCAGATGTAGAACCACTAAATTTGCCAACACTGTTAAGCTACTCAATTGAGTTTTATGAACATGTATGGAGTAGGTAAAATATACTCATTTGTACATCTCAGATAAGAAATATAGCTAGGAGCCGAGGCTCCCCTGATCCCAATAAAATGGGTGGCAAATTTTGGAGATATATCAGATTCCTCAGAGCAAGAGGAAATAGTTTTCAGCATAAATAAAAGTTCCTGGGAATGTGTTAACCCATGATATATATACCAAAGGCTGTGAAGAGATATTGGTGTGACCCGGTGTTCTTTGTCTCACTTGAAACAAGCAGGGTGTCCAACCTACCAACCTTGGGCCGCATGCAGCCCAGGATGGCTATGAATGCAGGCCAATATAAAATCATAAATTTACTTAAAACATTATGAGATTTTTTTCTGTGATTACATGCCACAATGTTTTTAATGTGTGGTCCAAGACAATTTTTCTTCCAGTGTGGCCCAGAGAAACCAAAAAGTTGGATACCCCTGGAAAGGCTTCTTCCTGATAGGATGTGAAGAGCCATCTATTCCAGAGGACTATATTTTGGTTGATGTAGGTAGGGATTAGGCCACATCTTGGGGACAAAGGAGAGAAGGGCAAACTGAAGAGAATAGCTTTTGGCGGACTTATACTGATTATGCAGATTTTACAGCAGAACTTCAAATTTGCTCCTACTGTGGTTATGTTTGAAAGCACATGGATTAGAGGACATCAGCTCTGGGCTCGAGTTTCATCACCAGTTGGATGAATTATCCAGAAGAGCCAACCATTTTGTTTGAATTTCAGTATCTCTGGATACAAAATGGGACAGCTCTTTCTCTAACCATCTTATTGGATGTTAGATAAAACCTTAGAAATCCTTATCTTTCCCGCAAAATAACTCACGAAGTTTCTATACCACTTTTTTTTTTTCCAGTCAAAGATCCCTCTGAGGATTTATTGAAAAGTATGGACCCCTCTCCACTGGAAAATGGACTTTTGAGTGTGTTTGTACTCTCCCACACATGTTTTTGCATATTGTTTTTTAGAGAATCAGAAAACTCCTGAGGTTCATTTGTAGGGAAACCAAATTTTTAAAAAAGCCTGAATTAGATAAAACAATTTCAATGAACCAAAAGAATTTAACAAAACACAGGCTTAGTAAAATATACTGTTCATTTCATCATGAACTTAGTTGTTTTCAAGCAATATTATTAATCTATGAACTCTCAACATACTCTAAACTTATAGGTTAAACATCACTATGTATTTCCTCATTAGTGATTACCATTTCATATGAGCTTCTATAATCATAATGATAAAACGAATTGCTAAATGTTGGTAAGTAAATTCAGTAAGGCACTCAAATCCTAGAAGTGAACCGATAATATGACTCTCTTCCTCCCTTTATTTATATAATGAAACATAACCTTGTCTCCTTCATTTTCAACGCTTCTTTATAAAAACACATGCTTATCTTGAACTTGTCTAAACGTGGGCTTATATGAGCTAATCCATTATTATGTATAGTTATAATTAAGGAAATCACCTCATGTTGATAGTTTATTAAAATCAAAATAAGGGAAAACAGAATTTGCGAGTAGAGCAGAAAAGCAATTCCTGGGGAAATGGTTTACATCTGTATCCCCAGTACTTAGTATAGTGACTGGAACGTAGCAAGAACTATATAAAGTGGACCTTTATTTCATAGGGCACGTATTGCCTTTATTACTAGATCATTTCTCTAAAAGAGCAATTTTCAACTGGTGTGTCACAAGAATTTTTAAAACACGCAATACCTGACTATAGTTGGGGGTACTGATCTCTTTTCTCTTAGATTGTCAAACAAAAAAAAAATTGACAACAACCAACACAACAATAGCTGTCTGGTGTGAATAAATCAAAATTATGCCTATTTGTCAGATGGAAACTAGAATTTTTTTGGTGTGTTGCAGAATTTTAGGAATTAGTTAATGTGCCATTAATTGAAAAAGGTTGAAAATCACTGCCCTAGAAGCAAGAAAGGAAAAGACAGACAAATATTCTAACAATATTTTCTTAGAAGTTTTAATTTATATATTTAGCTCTTTATAAAATATATTTATTTAGCTTTATAAAATACAGGGATGGGCAAAAGTAGGTTTATAGCTGTGAGTACATGAAACAGTTTATACTTGTATTATTATACATCATTTTATTACTTTGCACAGGAACAACTGTAGGCCTACTTTTGCCCACCCCTGTATATTTAAAAATCCCAGGCAAAAGCCCTCTCATTCATTTCAAAAAACAAATCACTTCAGTGGTCTTCCTTAAAGTTCTTGTAGTTTCTTCATCTGGTCGCAGGGAAGGGCATAGGATGCAATCTTTACACCATCAGGAAAAAAATCCAGTAGGGAGAAATCTTGTTGCAGTGGGTAGCTGTTTTCATCTAACACAAAGAGGCTCTGCACCTTCACTACACAAGATGCACCACCACCTGCCAGCAGGGAGTGGAACAAGTCTGCTGCAACCATGCCATAGGTGATCGCTGAGGAAGGAGCTAAGGAAGATGAAAACACACATATACAGCTCTTAGTATCTTCCCAGTTGACAGAAACACACACACTGAAGGGTTTTGTTTCACTTGCTTTCTCAAGTCCCAATCCTACTTTAAATTTCTCCTGCTCTTCCTTCTCTTTCTACTTATATGTTGTGGAAGTTACTCTAGAATGACATGCAATTTCTGCTGATCATAGAAGGAAGTCATAGATAACACTATTCAAACTGACAGCATTGCTACTATGGTGTACCTATTGCTTCTTAAAACAATGGAAGGAAGAACTGGGATTTATTTTTCTTAAATTTAGCCTGGGGGGAAAAAAGGGTTTGTCCATTATCAGAAAAGTATTCTTAGGCTTCCAGTTAAGATGGAAGAATAGGTAAACACAGTACTGGCAACCTCCCATGACCACATTAATCTTACAACTAAACCACAAAACAACCATAACTGAGAACCACCTGAAATCTAGCTGAATAGAAACCCTATAACTAATGCTATAAGAAGCCATCTAGGGACTGGTAGGAAGAGCAAAGAAACTCTGGAATGTGCTGTTCCCACACCCACATGTGGTGGTTAAAAATCAGGAGGGATACTTTGCCTGCAGAGGGCCCCTCTGAGGAGAGAGGGTTCCTAGCCCCACACCTGGCCCCATGCCCAGGGTTTCAGTGCTAGGAAGAGACAACCCCATAACTTCTGGCTGTTAAAACCAACAGGGATTGTGGCTGAGGGAGATGGATGACTTTTAGAGTCACAGAAGTTCTTCTTAAAGGGCCAACACAAGGACTTACTTGGACTAACTCCCTCTAAGTTTGAGCACTGGGGCCACAGCTCAAAAGGCACCAGGGACATATGGAGAGAAGCTGAATTATATGGCATCAGGGCAAGAACTGGAGAGGCAGCTATCTCTCAGACAGAAGTGCTGGAAGATACCACTGTTTCTTTTCTGAGCCCTTCCCCCAAAAAGCTGGCAGGTAGATGAGACAGCTGAGTCTCCATCAATATGACTAGCACTGTTAGCCCCACTTAACTTGAAGGATCACCCAAGCTATTTCCAGTGGCTTTTCCATACATATGGCCTGTCTTGGCACAGGCTTCAGACTTTCCTAAAATCTCTCAAACAAGCAGCATCAGGCCTTGAGTGCCCTGTACCTCTTGCTAAGTGGCCCCAGGCCCAGCACTAGTGGCAGATGGCCTTGGTTCATAGCCTGGCCTCTTCTGGGCACCTCCAATGCCAGCACAAGTTGCAGCCACCTACAGATTGATTTGTAACTCAGTCTGGGTGGTCCTAGACAGAACACAAGTGAGAGCTGACCTTGACCTGCACCTCCTCAGGAGGCCCTAGAGCCAGTACACCCAGTGGAAAGCTTCAGACCATTGAAGCACCACCACACAACCATCTCCATGAGCAACATGTTCATGGGGGTGAACACAGCAGGCATTACAGCTCCACTGAAGTCCTGCTCCATGGAGTGAACCCCTGCACAGCTGATCCTCCATGGTGGTCACAGCCAGTTCTCGAAGCTAATCAGCCTAGGGATAAATCCCTCCCATTAATGTGCCAACAGCAATCAAGGCTTGACTCAATAGAAGGGTATACATAGCCCACACAGTGGACACACTTGGAGTGCCCAGCTTGAGTGAACAGGAAACTGTGCCACTGGACTCTACAGGACACCAACAACATTAGGCCACTCTACCAAGCCTGGGAGATGTAACAGCTTTACCTAATACATAGAAACAAACACATGGAGGATGCTAAAATGAGGAGACAAAGAAATATGGCCCAAACGAAAGAAGAGAACAAAACTTTAGAATAAGAACTAAACAAAATGAAGACAAGCAATCTATTACATGCAGAATTCAAAACACTGGTTATAAGGATGCTCAATGAATCTACAAGAGAAGTATATGAACTTAGATAGGACCTCAAAAGCATCTAAAAGGACATAGAAACTATAAATAAGAAGCAGTCAGACATGAAGGATATGCTAACTAAAATGAATAATTTACAGGGAATCAACAGTAGAGCAGATCAAGTCAGGAATCAAATCAGAGATGTGGAATATAAGGAAGCAAAAATATCCAATCAGAACAACAACAAGAAAAAGAATTTTTAAAAATGAGGGTAGTGTAAGGAGTCTCTGGGACAACAAGTGTACCAATATTCACATCATAGGGGGGTGTCAGAAAGTGAAGACAGCAAAAAATTGAAAACCTATTTGAAAAATAATGGAAAACTCTCCATAACCTGGTGAAGAAAATAGATATACAAGACCAAGAAGTGCATAAGAGTCCCAAACAAGATGAACCCAAAGAGGCCCACACCAAGACACATCATCATTAAAATGCCAAAGGTTAAAGAGAAAGAGAGGATTTGAAAAGCAGCAAGAAAAAAGCAATTAGAGCCCTGGCTGGGTAGTTCAGCTGGTTAGAGCATCGTCCTGATATGCCAAGATTGTGTGTTCAATTCCCGGTCACAGCACATAGAAGAGTCAGCCAATAAATGCATAAAGTGGAACAACAAATCAATGTTTGTCTGTCTGTCTCTCTCTAAATAAAATAAATAAAAATTAAGAAAGAGAGACAGAGCCCTGGCTGGTGTAGCTCAGTGGATTGAGCACGGGCCTTTGAACCAGACAATCGCGGTTCGATTCCCAGTCAGGGCACATGCCAGGGCTGCAGGCAGGTTCCCTGCAGGCCAGTTCCCAGCAGGGGATGCACGAAAGGCAACCATACATTGATGTTTCTCTCCCTCTCTCCTTCCCTTCCCCTCTAAAGATAAATAAATAAAATCTTTAAAAAAAAAGAGAGAGGGAAAGAAAGGAAAAAGAAAAGCAATTAATTATTTGCAAGGGAGCTCCCATAAGACTGTCAGCTGATTTCTCAACAGAAACTTTGCAGGCCAGAAGGAACTAGCAAGAAATATTCACAGTGATGAAAAAACAAGGACCTACAACCAAGAATACAATATCCAGAAAAGCTATTATTTATTCTCAATAGAACTGAAGGAAGATAAAGAGCCTGTCAGACCAGAAAAAGTTAAAAGAGTTCATCACCACCAAATCAGTATTACATGAAATGTTAAAGGGTCTTCTTTAACCCTGCAGAGGTCACAGATGATCTGAGGGATACAAACAAACTCTTTTCTTAAATATTGTTATATATATATCAGGTGCACAGGTTCAAGGTCATGACTAGCTGCATGTCTGTACATGACTAACACAAACTGAAGAAAATTCTCATGACAACACAGATACAGTCCCCTCAACAAGCAGAAAAAGAAAAAGATGCATTAAGTGCTATGTATCCAAAACAAGCTGCATATCAATATATTATTTTAAGTGTTGTGAAGAGTATTTATGCCTTAAACATAGCAATATTGTTTGCAATGACTGTTACAAACATTTTGCAAAGCCAACTACTGAAGATTCTGATTAACGTTCAAGACATTTTTGTTGTATTTTTAGCAATATCCGTTTTTGTTATTTGAAAAGAAAAATTTGTATCATTTTATATTTTAATAATTTCTAGATTGTAACTAAAATAAATAAAAAATCATGTATTTTATTATGTAAGTATAATGAATGCAAATTTTCAGTGTTTTTAAATTTTTTCACATTCAGTACATACCAGTAATGAATGTATCTCTTGAGTTCATGAGACCTATGCTGTAATATTTTTTACTACAACCTCTGCAGGGTTAAGGAAACGAAGAAGAAAAAAAGATAAAAATATGAACAATAGAATGGCAATACATACATCCCTATCAACAACTGAATCTAAAAAATAAAATAAATAAACGAGCAGAACAGAAACAAACTCATAGATACACAGAACATTTTGACAATTGCCAGATGGGATAAGAGTTAGTGATATGGGTAAAAAGAAATGAAGGGAGCCCTGGCTGGTGAGGCTCAGTGGAATGAGTGCAGGCCTAGAAACCAAAAGGTTGCCAGTTCAATTCCCAGTCAGGGTGCAAGCCTGGGTTGTTGGCCAGGTCCCCAGTTGGGGGCATGCAAGAGGCAACTGACCAATGTATCTCTGGCACATCAATGTTTCTCTCCCTCTTTCTCTCTTCCTTCCCTTCTCCCTAAAAATAAATCACTAAAATCTTTTTTAAAAAGAAGTGAAGGGATTAAGAAGTACAGGGTGGTTGTTACAGAAGAGTCACAGGGATGAAAAGTACAGCATAGGAAATATAGTCAATAATATTCTAATAACTATGTATGGTGTCAAATGAGTGTGATATTTATTGAGATGATCACTAAGTTATACAGTGTTTAACTACTGGAGTATACACCTGAAACAAATATAATATGTATGTTAACTGTAATTGAAAAATAAAAAATGCTTAAAAAATAATTTGACAAGTACTAAAAATGAGAGAGAGAGAGAGAGAGAGAGAGAGAGAAGTACCCATAACTTCTGGCAAAGAAAACCAGTGGGGATGGTGGCTGAGTAAATAGGGGGCTGCTGGAGTCACAAGCATTCCTCTTAAAGGGGCCTGCACATGGACTTACTTGGACTTTGAGCTCCAGTGCTGGGGCAGCAGCTTGAAAAGCCCCAGGAACATCCAGGAAGGAAATAAATTGTCTGGCTTTCAGGCAATGGCTCAGAGGGGCAGCTTTCACCCACACAGCCGTACTGGTAGAGGCCAGTGTTTCTTTGCTGAATTCTCCCCCTGCAGGTGTAGCTGGCTCTACATCTGAATCTACATCAACTTGGCTAACACTGTTCACCCTGCCCTGGTGATTCCCTGAGACCCTACCAACTCAAGCCACTTCCCATGGCTTTTCTGTACAAATTGCCTATCTTGGCTCATACTATGAACTTTCCTAAAATCTCTCGAAAGTTTAACAAACCCCAAACAAGCAGCATACGGCCTCAGTGTACCACAGATCTCTTGCCTTTAAGTGGCACCAGGTATGGCACTACTGGTCAGACTGTACATGGCTTGGTCTTTCCCAGGCACTTCCAAGACCAGCACTATCAGTAGTCAT